ACCCACCCACCCAGCCTGGCCGAGCCCTCCTTCTCCAACCGAGGGGGGCGGAGACGCAAAGTCAGCGGAGCGCGCCCGACTTCTCGGAGCAGAAGCTCAGCAGAAGCAACTGGAGAGGACGCCCGCAGCCGGTCCGGGAAAGCAAAGGAGCTGGCCAGCACGAGGGCAGCGGATCCCCTCGAGCGATCCACCCCCCCCCCCCGGGATCTGCAGAGAAGAGGGAGATTCGCATCCAGCTTCCCCGGTTGCCGGCGAGCGAGGGCGGCGTGGAAGATTTTGGAAACGGTCCCCGGCATGCCGAGCTAAAGGGCTGTAAGTCACCCCGTGCATGGAGCGCCGCGAGAGGCGCAGGTCCGCTTCCTCTCCCCCGGCCCGACGCAGCTTGAGACCCCAACCCGGGCGGCGGAGCCGGACGAGCGTGGGAACGCCACGCTTTTGGTGGAAGTGAGCGGACTTTTCGAAGCTTTGTTTTGAGGTGGGGATTCGAAGGCGCCGCGATTGCCATGGAGCCAGATTGGATGCGGATCGAGCCCTTTCTGGAGGGGGCTTCGGGGGAGAGCTGGAGGCCCGGGGTGCCCGTGATCTGACCCACTCCTGCGTCTTGCCCTCCCGCCATCGCCACCAGCAGAGCTTGGGGGGTGGGGGGTTCCGCGGAGCGTCGGGGCAGCTTCCGAGTTGGCCACCATGAGCTCCAGGCGGCGGCGGAGCTCCAGACCGACTCTGGGGGTGGTGCTGCATCTGGTCTGCTCCTGTTTCGGCATCAGCTCCATCGATCCCGACCGTCCCGGCGACGGCCGGTGCCAACCCATCGAGATCCCCATGTGCAAAGACATTGGGTACAACATGACCCGCATGCCCAACCTAATGGGCCACGAGGACCAGCAGGACGCGGCCATCCAACTGCACGAGTTCGCCCCCTTGGTGGAGTACGGCTGCCACGGCCACCTCAAATTCTTCCTCTGCTCCCTCTACGCCCCCATGTGCACCGAGCAGGTGTCCACGCCCATCCCGGCCTGCCGGGTGATGTGCGAGCAGGCCCGGCTCAAGTGCTCGCCCATTATGGAGCAGTTCAACTTCAGGTGGCCCGACTCCTTGGATTGCAGCAAGCTGCCCAACAAAAACGACCCCAACTATCTGTGCATGGAAGCCCCCAGCAATGGCTCCGAGGAACCGCCCCGGGGATCCAGCATGCTCCCTCCCATGCTCTGGCCCCAGAGGCCCCACAGCGCGGGTCACGACCTGACCCAGCAGAAGGACGGGCTGGGCCGGCTCTCCTGCGAGAATCCCGGGAAGTTCCACCACGTGGAGAAGAGCGGTTCCTGCGCTCCTCTCTGCGCCTCCGGGGTGGACGTCTACTGGAGCTGGGAGGACAAGCAGTTTGCGGTCATCTGGATGGCCGTCTGGTCCATCCTCTGCTTCTTCTCCAGCGCCTTCACCGTCCTGACCTTCCTGATCGACCCCCAGCGCTTCAAGTACCCGGAGAGGCCCATCATCTTCCTCTCCATGTGCTACTGCGTCTACTCCGTGGGCTACATCGTCCGCCTCTTTTCCGGGGCGGAAAACGTCGCCTGCAACCGAGACAGTGGCCAACTCTACGTCATTCAAGAAGGTCTGGAGAGCACGGGGTGTACCTTGGTCTTCCTGGTCCTCTACTACTTCGGCATGGCCAGCTCCTTGTGGTGGGTGATCCTGACTCTGACTTGGTTCCTGGCCGCGGGGAAGAAATGGGGCCACGAGGCCATTGAAGCCAACAGCAGCTACTTCCACTTGGTGGCCTGGGCCATCCCTGCGGTTAAGACTATTATGATCCTAGTCATGCGCCGGGTTGCAGGCGATGAGTTGACGGGCTTGTGTTATGTGGGCAGCATGGACGTCAATGCGCTGACCGGCTTCGTGCTGGTCCCTCTGGCTTGCTATCTCGTTCTGGGGACCTCCTTCATCCTTTCAGGCTTTGTGGCCCTCTTCCACATCAGGAGGGTGATGAAAACCGGCGGGGAAAACACCGACAAACTGGAGAAGCTCATGGTGAGAATCGGTGTCTTCTCCGTCTTGTATACCGTGCCGGCCACCTGTGTCATCGCTTGCTACTTTTACGAAAGGTTGAACATGGATTACTGGAAGATTTTGGCCACCCAGCAAAAATGCAAGGTCAACACTCACACCAAGCACCTGGACTGCACCATGAGCGACTCTGTTCCAGCCGTGGAGATCTTTATGGTTAAGATCTTTATGTTGCTGGTGGTGGGCATCACCAGCGGGGTCTGGATTTGGACATCCAAAACTCTGCAATCCTGGCAAGGGGTTTGTAGCCGGAGGATCAAGAACAGGACTCGGAGGAAATCCGCCAGCATGGGGGCGAGTGGGGGTCTTTACAAAAAGTCCCAGCCCTTGCCCAAAGTTCATCATGCAAAGTACGAGCCGGCTTTGCAACCTCCAACCTGTGTGTGACCACAGTGGACCACAAGATCTTAATAATATGACTCAGAATATTTGGAAAGCAACAGAAAGAGATTCCCAATCGCCATAGCATTCAGGACTACTTTTTTTTTTTTTTTTAAAAATGTTTTTAGAACCTCTGTTGTCTTAGCAAACAGCAATTAAGAGAGTTGAAATCTTAAAATTCAAGATCAGGAGATGGGGGAAAAAAAATAGTGCCTCAAATGTTAAACAAACATAAGCACATCTATCTATCTATCTATCTATCTATCTATCTATCTATCTATCTATCTATCTATCTATCTATCTATCTATCTATCTTTTTTCTTTTCTCTCTCCTCTCTTAGTTTGCTAGTTTTACATGCTTTGAAAAACTTTAATTAAAAAATCTTCCTTCTTTCCTTCTTCCCTCCCTCTTCTCTCTTAGCTTCCAAGTTTTTACATGCTTTGAAAAACTTTTAATAAAAAAACTTCTTCCTTCCTTCCTTCCTTCCTTCCTTCCTTCCTTCCTTCCTTCCTTCCTTCCTTCCTTCCTTCCTTCCTTCTCTCCCTCTCCTCTCTTAGCTTCCAAGTTTTTACATGCTTTGGAAAACTTTTAATAAAGAAACTTCTTCCTTCCTTCCTTCCTTCCTTCCTTCCTTCCTTCCTTCCTTCCTTCCTTCCTTCCTTCCTCTGTTGATTGTTTGGCCAGCCTTCTGTGGTTGAAAAACTTGGTGTTCTGACTTGTAAATATTGGAATATGGTTTGCTTTAGATTTCTAACCCTTTAGATATAAGTACTGTATTTGTAGAACTATTTTTTTTAAGAAAAGAGAAAACTTGAAAAGAGAATGTTTAGGGAAGCAACCAGATCAGAGAGAAACAGAAGTCTGCATTCACCCTGAAATCTTTCCAAAGCAGATCCTCATTATTATTATTATTATTATTTAAAAAAAAGCCTTTTACATGCAAGATGGTCTCTTAAAATGGTCTCTTCTGCAAAAAATAATGTGCAATACAGTTTTTCCTGCTTTTCGTCCCTTTGCTCCCTCCCCCACATCCCAGACCTATGCCTTGAAATACGAAACAAGTTTCCAGACATAAAAGCAACAGAAGGGAATCTTTAACAAAAGAACAGAGGGGTTCTAGTCCCTAGGAACCCTTCAGAGTTACACTTTGTGGCTTTTTAATGGAAATCGGACACGTTTGGAGAAGGAGGGAGGGAGGGCCAGCCACTGAAAAGAATCCAAAGGAGCTTATTGACTCTTTTCCATTGTTAAATAGATTCTGTCCATGAATAGATCAAGGAAACACTCCCCGTTTTCCTCCACCCCCTCCATCCCCAAAGGGAAACCAGGGCACAGGGGTGTGTGCCTGCTGTGTCTATATCTAGCTTTCTCTATTTGTAATATATGGCTATTTTTCATGCCCTGTTTTATTAAAACATGTCGAGAGAGAAAGAGAAATAAAACAACATGGCTTTTAGTTTGATAAAGCATTCTGTCATTTGGGGGAGGCCGGGTGGGTGGGTGGGTTGGTGACCAGGTGAATGCCAAAGCAGGTTGGCACCAATTTGCTGGCATTCAGAACATGCCAGGGTGGTGAAGTGGCCGGACTGCTAGTCCAGCTCTTTTAAAGGAAGGGAGAAAATGTCTGGAGCGTCCCACAACTTCTGGAAGCAAGTTGTTCCATTGGTTAATTGTTCTCACCTTTAGGAAGTTTCTCCTTCGTTCTAGGTTGCTTCTCTCCTTCATTAGTTTCCATCCGTTGCTTCTTCTCCTGCCTTCCGGTGCTTTGGAGAACAGAACAGAATAACAGAATTAGAAGGGACCTTGGAGATCTTCTAGCCCAACCCCTTGCTCAGTTCGAGCACCAGGATAACATTAAACCAAAAGACTGTTTAATACAAATACTAAGCTTTCGTCTGCCAACATCGTCAGAGCATGTGTGTGTGTGTGTGTGTGTGTGTATTTCATCTATACCATAGACACATACAATATATTGTATTGTATATTGATGTATATCAATATATATATGTGTGTGTGTGTATTTCATGTATACCATAGATAGACACATACAATATATTGTATTGTATATTGATGTATATCAATATATATATGTATGTGTGTGTGTATTTCATGTATACCATAGACATACAATATATTGTATTGTATATTGATGTATATCAATATATATGTGTGTGTATGTATTTCATGTATACCATAGACACATACAATATATTGTATATTGATGTATATCAATATATATATGTATGTGTGTGTATATTTCATATATACCATAGACACATACAATATATTGGTGTGTGTGTGTGTGTGTGTGTGTGTGTGTGTGTGTGAGAGAGAGAGAGAGAGAGAGAGAGAGAGAGAGTATACAGTGGTGGGATTCAGCCAGCTCGCACCACTTCAGCAGAACCGGTAGCTAATTTTTTGTTGCCCAGGCCCAGAATGGAGTTCCAGAAGCGGCATCCACACAGAGAACCGGTTGTTCACATCCCACCACTGTATGTGTGTGTGTGTGTGTGTGTGTGTATTATACACACACACACACACACACACATACCTTGTCTATGCAGCGAATTGTATAATCTAATTGTCAATTTATAATATCTGTAAGCTGTCTAGAATCATCTCTGGTGAGATGGGCAGCATGCAAGTTTGATAAATAATAATACAATACAATACGTGTGTGTTTGTGTGTGAATGAAATAGATGATATACATCATATCAAATAGTATGAAATAATATACTGCATATAGGGAAAGTACTTTTCCTAATTCTTGACTGTTTCCTTGAATATGTTTGGGAGCTTTTAAAATAATAAAAATCACTATTTTTGGTGTGTGGATGATGAGAGAGGTCACCCCCCTTGGACAATTTCTCATCATTTCTTTTTTGTCGGGGATAAAAAGGGTCCTTAAAAAGAAGAGAATCTCATTTCCTCTTCTGGAATAAAATCCCCCTCTATGTAGTTTGTGTTTGCCATTCCCTCCCTCTTGCACCCCAAAGTGGATTAGGGTGGAAAGAAAGAAAGAAAGAAAGAAAAGAAAGAAAGAAAGAAAGAAAGAAAGAAAGAAAGAAAGAAAGAAAGAAAGAAAGAAAGAAAGAAAGAAAGAAAGAAAGAAAGAAAGAAAGAAAGAAAGAATCTAACAAGGACTGAGTTAATTTCATTTGCATCACAAAAAGGTCCTCAGTTCTCAGAACAAGGCCAGAGCTTTAGAAATTGCACAATCCTCTCTGTTGTCAATGGGAGAGGAACTGAGAGCAGGGAACACACACACAAACACACACACAACACACACAGAATGGGGGAAGCTGGGGACAATAATGGCTCTCAGCGTGTGTTCAGAGTCTACCTTAGAACTTTTTAAACTTTGGACATCTGATGCCAGCTTCTTTTTCCCCTGATCAAATCATAGCAACCACAAGACATTTTTAAACTAGAGGAAGGGAGGAAGAGAGAGAGAGACAGACAGACAGAGAGAGAGAGACAGAGAGAGAAAGAGACAGAGAAAGAGAAAGAAAGAGACAGAGAGACAGAGAGAGAAAGAGAGAGAAAGAGAAAGAGAAAGAAAGAGAGAAACAGAGAGAGAGACAGACAGACAGACAGAGAGAGAGAGAGAGAGAGAGAAAGAGAGACAGAGAAAGAAAGAGAGAGAGAAAGAAAGAGAGACAGAGAGAAAAAGAGAAAGAAAGAGAAACAGACAGAGAGAGAGAGAGAGAGAGAGATGCTTGATAGATATGATAGATATAGCTGGATATGAAAGATGGAGAGATAGAAAAATACTGGTAGTCCTCAACTTAGCACATCTGAGCCCAAAATTTCTGTTGCTAAGTGAGACAAGTGAATTTTGCCCCATTTTATGACCTTACCCGACACGGTTGCTAAATGAACCATTGCCCTTAAGTTGATAACCTGGTTGTTAAATGAATCCAGATTCACACCACAATTATCTGCCTCCACCTCCAATTATCTCCTTTTTATGCCTAAATACACCCTTCAAAACCTCCTCGCTGTACCTGCTCTGAAACCGACAGCATCAGATATTTTGGGCTGGAGATATTTCAAGACAAGCTAGGGATCATCGGGGATGCTGCAGAGACCCCGCAGAGGCTCTCTGGCTCCCGGCCCATCTTCCAGCCGGTGTCGCAAGGTGCATGACCTCATGAAGTTCCGGATGGCTTCTTGGCTGGCTTAAAACAGAAGCGCACCGCCCAAGTGACTCGGCAAGGCTTGGAGGAGCCGCCCAGAAACTGACATGCGGGCCTAGTTTTCTTTTCTTTTTGTCTTTCTTTTTCTACTCGCTGATCCAGCCTACAGCTTGGAGATCTCCAAGTGGTTCCCCGTCCGACCCCTGACCAATACTGACCCTGATTAGCTTGCTAAAAAAAAAGCCAAGATGGGTTAATTGAAATGCCAAGTATTCAGATCAGTAATTTCAAAGAAACTTTCTTCCTCCATTCCTCCTCCTCCCCCCTGCTCCCTCCCCTATTTCTCCTCTTTTTCTTCCTTCTCTTCCTCTTTTTTCACCTCTTCCTTTTATTCTCCCTCATCTCCTCTTCCTCCTCCCCCCTTCCCCCTCCACTCTTCTTTCTCCTTTTTTCTTCCTCTTCCTCTTTTTTCTCTTCTTTTTCTTCTCCTCCCTCATCTCCTCCTCCTCCTCTTCTTCCTCTTTCTCTTCCCCCCTTCCCCCTTCATTCCTCCTCCTCCTCTTCCTCTTTTTCTCCTCTTCTTCATCTTTTTCTTCTTCTCCCTCATCTCCTCCTCCTCCTCTTCTTCCTCTTTCTCCTTCCCCCTTCCCCCTCCACTCCTTCCTCCTCCTCCTCCTCCTGTTTCTCCTTTTCTTCCCCTCCTCTTCCTCTTTTTNTTTCTCTTCTTTTTCTTCTCCTCCCTCATCTCCTCCTCCTCCTCTTCTTCCTCTTTCTCTTCCCCCCTTCCCCCTTCATTCCTCCTCCTCCTCTTCCTCTTTTTCTCCTCTTCTTCATCTTTTTCTTCTTCTCCCTCATCTCCTCCTCC